GGTTTTACAGTCCAGGATATTTTTAGAGCTTCTTTTTAACATGTGCAGAAACATTGCATAGAATGAAAGAGAGAACCTGGGTAGCATTTCTTCCTAAGGTGACGAATGAAAGAAACTAAGACATTCTCCTAAATCCCTTGAGTGTGTCTCTTGAATCATTGAGGTTCTGCTGATCTTTCCTGTCTTATCCTTATCAAATCTTTTAATTATTCAAAGTACCTCACTTGGCATTGTAGCAGTGAGATGTGAGACATGCTTCTGAAATATTATTTTGTTTAACGTCTGTGCAAACTTGTAAGCTTTTCTTATTCTACGTGCTGCTACAAATTGTGGTTCTAAAATAAGATTTATTTAAACCTATATGAGGGAAGATGTGATACCACTTTAGAACTGTGACCTTACCGCTGGTTTCTGTTGAAATTTCCCTGAGAAATATCTTTAAAAGGAGACATAACTAAAGATTGCATCAGCTATGATTCTTCTTCTTTGACATCTTATTCAGATATTTCTAGTGAACTTCAATTATTTTTTTTCCCGTCAAATTCAATCTGTAACAGCTGTCTCTTTGAGTTAATATTTTCCAAAATTGTAGAGAGGCACTAATTAGCTTTGGCCACACAAAGCATTTTATAAGCTCATTGTCATCTTCTTTTCCTTATCTGTACATTAAGGAAACAAGGATCAAAATTGGAATGGGTATGCGGCTCGTTTGGGAAAGGCGACGCAAGAAGTTGATGGTGCAAGAGACTTGCCACCACGAGTGGCAGAATCTAATTGCATTGGCTGCCAAAAGGGGCCTTTCAGGAGAGAAGGAACTACAATGGGACTCTTACCAAATCATGAAGATGAAGATGCTTAACCTCAGGCATGCTCGAAGGTAGGATAACCTTTTGCGTCCTTTGAATTTCGGGGTAATGTCTTCTTTAAATATGAAGTAACTTTCAAATTAGATGTTGTAACGGATTTTAGGGGTTACAAATAAAAACATTGAAATGCTTTTTTGTTTATGAAGGGTGTAAATGTAAGTTGTATTAGAATTACAGAATCTTAAAGATTGTTTCATAATTTTCAAAGTTGATGAGTTGTTTTGTAATTGTCAAACCTCAAGCATACCTTTCGTAATTAACTCTTAACTCCAAATTGTCGTTCTTCCTTAAAAATCGATGCCATTCTTCCTTCCTTCTTTTCTCGAGCACATAAAGCATTTTATAAGCTCATTGTCATCTTCTTGTCCTTACCTGTGTATAGTAAGGAAGTAAGGATCAAAATTGGAGTGGGTATGCGGCTCGTTTGGGAAAAGCGACGCAAGAAGCTGATGGTGCAACAGACTTGCCTCCACGAGTGGCAGAATCTAATTGCATTGGCTGCCAAAAGGGGCCTTTCAGGACAGAAGGAACTAAAGGAATGGCTCAAGAGCATTGAGCAGAGGAAAAAGCTGATGGTGCAAGAGAATTGCCACCGCGAGTGGCAGAATCTAATTGCATTGGCTGCCAAAAGGGGCCTTTTAGAAGAGAAGGAACTACAATGGGACTCTTACCAAATCTTGAAGATGACGATGCCTAACCTGAGGCATGTTCGAAGGTAGGATAAGCTTTTGCGTCCTTTGAATTTCGAGGTAATTTCAAGATGTTTTGTTTAACTATGAACCAACTTTCAAGTTAGACGTAGTAACAGAATTTAGGGGTTGCAAAATAAAAACATTGAAATGCTTTTTTGCTTATGAATGCTGTAAATGTAAGTTGTAATAGACATTACAGAATCTTAAAGATTGTTTCATAATTTTCAAAGTTGATGGGTTGTTTTGTAAATATCAAACCTCAAGCATACCTTTTGTAACTAACCCTTAAGTCCAAAGTGTCGCTCTTCCTTGAATATTCTTCCTTCTTTTATTTTTGCGAGCACATAAAGAATTTTATAAACTCATTGTCATCTTCTTGTCCGTAACTGTATAGTAAGGAAACAAGGATCAAAACTGGAATGGCTATGCGGCTCGTTTGGGAAAGGCGACGCAAGAAGCTGATGGTGCAACAGACTTGCCTCCACGAGTGGCAGAATCTAATTGCATTGGCTGCCAAAAGGGGCCTTTCAGGACAGAAGGAACTAATGGAACGGCTCAAGAGCATTGAGCAGAGGAAAAAGCTGATGGTGCAAGAGACTTGCCACCACGAGTGGCAGAACCTAATTGCATTGGCTGCCAAAAGGGGCCTTTCAGGAGAGAAGGAACTACAATGGGACTCTTACCAAACCTTGAAGATGGCGATGTTTAACCCGAGGCATGCTCGAAGGTACGATAGGCTTTTGCGTCCTTTGAATTTCGGGGTAATTTCAAGGTGTCTTCTTTGAAAGTAAATTTCAAGTTAGATGCACTAACAGATTTTATGGGTTATAAATAAAAATATTGAAATGCTTTTTTGCTTATGAAGGCTGTAAATTTAAGTCTTAATAGATATTACAAAATCAGAAAGATTGTTTCATAATTTTCAAGTTGACGGGTTGTTTTGTAAATATATTAAACACATAAGTCCAAATTGTCGCCTTTCCTTAAAAATTGATGCTATTCTTCCTTCTTTCTTTTTGAGAGCACATAAAGCATTTTATAAGCTCATTGTCGTCTTCTTCTCCTTACCTGTATAGTAAGGAAACAAGGATCAAAATTGGAGTGGGTATGAGGCTCGTTTGGGAAAGGCGACGCAAAAATCTGATGGTGTAACAGACTCTAACCAAATCTTGAAGAAGCTCAAGGGCATTGAGCAGAGGAAAAGAAAAGCACACCAAGGATTATGGGAAACAAGCAGAAGAGGAAGATTGCAGAGGCCATAGTGGCCTTGGCCGATCCTGTGAGTTTTTTTTATTTCTATGCATTCGTTTTTTAGAAGGTGGACTTTGTACAATGCATTTAGTATTAGATTTGACCATAAATTAATGGTTAAAACTTCATTAACGATCAATAAACTGTCAGCCTTGGTATTTATTTGTTCTCAAAATCCCTTTCATGTGGAATAATGAAATCACAAGGACTAAAATTTGGTGTAAAGGGAAAGGAAAAATCTACCTTAATATATACTGTATTGATATACAATTTGGCAAAAATTGATGTAGGTGTTTTGATTATTCAACACTTTAAAAATAACATGAAGTGTGAATTATCAAAACCCTGTGTTTTATATCAATGTGTAACTGATCCTTTGTATTATTATAGCATGGCTCGAAAGCAAAAACGGTCCTCATGATCATATCAACAAATTAGGCTGTCCCTATAATTTCTTATGGGAGGCAGACTAATTAAAGGAAATGACTTTGAAAATTGTATGTGGATCAATTTGTAGACAACATATGGGTGCCATTGAATAGAAATTTCTTGGTGATTTAACTTTATTAAATAAAGTGAATTAAAATTGAAAACAAGATGATTGAATAGAGTTTTCAAATGGATTTTGAGTTTGTGTTTGGAGATGAGTTAAAATGTAATGATTAAAATTGATGTGGTAGAAAAATACGAGAGATGTGATTGAATTTTGATTGTTAGTTAAAAACATTTGAATTGGTTAATAGCCAATTTTGTTGATGTGATTTGTGAGAATGATTTATTGATGTTATTTAATTATATTGATAATATTGAGAAAAATTAAATTGAGTTGGATTGTGAGCTACAATTTTGAATTTGAAATTGTTTGATGGATTTGAAGAGGATTTGATTGGTTAAACGTATTGCAGTTTCAGTTATAGCATAAGCACAACCTCTTATAAACTTCTTTATTACACATTTACACTTTCATAACACATTCAAACTCGACATTGATTGAGAACTTCTTGTTGCAGCATAAACGCAACCTCTTTTAAACTTCTTTATTACATTTGCCTAACACAATCAAACTCGGGCATTGATTGAGAAATTGTATAATCTACCAAACATTGGTACAAATTGAGCAAACAAATAATATGGAATGACAAAAATGGGACCATAAGTCTAGCAATAAGTCTGGGGTTGTGTTCGACGGTTTCTATCCCTCCTGGTCATTTTCCCCTGGTGCTGGGGTTAATCGGCCGGCGGCACCTCCGATCTCGGCAGTGGTGTTGTTCGTGGTTGGGCAGGCAGCGGTCAGATCGGCGTTCCACCGGCTGCGGACCGCGGTTTGTGTTTATATGTGGGTGTTTGTCTGGTTGTTTTGACCCGACTCGTCTTTTGGCACTAAATGTGTTGGATGACTAACCTCGGGTGGGCTCGATCCTCTTTTGATTGCCATTCAGGGTGGAGGTTTGACGACTCATTTGGCGTCGCAGGAGTGGGATAGTGTTGTGTTATGGGTTAGTGTTTTTGTTTTTCTAGTGCTTTTGGTTTAGTTTTCTTTGGGTCTTTTCTCCCTTTGGGGAGTGTGTTTCTCCCATAGGGGAGTTCTTTCTCCAGTTGTGGAGTTTGTTTTTTTCTGTTAGTGGGTGCGTTTGTTTTAGTGTAAGCTCTAGGCGATCATTTGGATCTGTCCTCCTACTAGATTCAGCTTTTGAGCTGTCTTTTCGACTTTTGAGCTGTTTTCTAGATGTATCTATGTGTTTTATGATATAAAATTTCCATGAGGAACAAAAAAAAATGTCTAGCAATATAAATGCCAACCTGGGTAAAGATACCAACTGATATCATAGATCAGTAATGAGAACGAATTTTATTGCCTCTAACCTCGCATGTGACCATGGTGAAATTTATTTATTTATTTATTGAAAACTAGACTCAATAAGCTTTCCAACCATGTCTCAAAATTATAATGTACTCCATAGTAAGCATGCTATTTTTCAAAGTTGGGTATTGTGCATTGACTAAAGAGTATTTAGTTACACTAAGAGCACCCACAATGCATTGGGTCTAATTTTACATATGTGACATATAAATGGACTTAAGTCTTAAATGACATGGACTTAAGTCCTAAATGACATGGACAAAACCCGAGTAAAAAATTCAAAAGTTATTCAATGCAAAAACTAAAATACTAGGTCTATCATACATGTCAACCAATAAAAATGCTCTAATATGTTTCATTTATTAAAAGAATAATTAAACTATAAATAAATGATGAGTGTTTGGGTTTGTATTTGGATCCAAAATAGACCCAAGTGTGGACTTGGTCTCATTTTTTTATTGCCACATAAGCTAGACCATGTCCACTTTTAATTGCATTGGGAGACTTTTTTTTATAAACTAGGTCTATTTCCTACATGACATATTATTTTTTGTTAAGAGACCCAAAGCATTATGGATGCTCTAAGAGCATCTACAATGTATTGGGTCTAGGTTTACCTACGTAGCATGTAAATAAACTCAAGTTTTGGATGACATGAATAAAATCATGTAAAATTAACAAAATTTACTCCAATGCAAAGAGACTAGGTCTCTACTTGGGTCTAAAATAGACCTAAGGATAGACCGAGTCTTTTTTTCTGGCTGCCACATCAGTAAGACTCAGTCTACTTCTATTTACAGTGGAGCATATATTTTTTAGACTGGGTCTATTTTTTAGGTGACATTAATTTTGTGATTGAATCCAAAATATTGTGGATGCTTTAAATCAACAGTATTCATTCATAAATTCATAAATTCGTCCACAAATAATATTTTTGTTAAATTCTTTATTATTATTATTGTTATTAAAAACTAGACTCAATGAGATTTCCAACCATACGGGTCACATAATTTTATTGAATTCCATATGAAACAGTTTACTTTTTGAAAGTTGGTGTTGTGTAGTGACTAAGAGTATTTAGGGCATGCTTGTTTACAAATTATTTCATTTTCAATTCAATTCATACTCAAAATCTAACTCAATTTTAACTCAACTCCATTATTTTTAATATTATTCATATAATTAAATAATATAAACCAATCATTCTTACACATCACATCAACTTTAATTCACTATTCATCCACGCACATAATTTTAACTACCTATCATTTCTAATCATTTTCAATCAATTATCTCTTACTTATACATCAAATCAATTTTAATCATTTTATTTTAAATATTATTTTAATACATTCTTAAAATCCCACTAACAATTAATCATACTACTTTTTCAAAATTAACTCTAGTTAACTAAAATAACTCATTTTGAATGAAATATTTCATAAACAAGTTAGTTAAGATAAACTGATAGTTTTCATTCATAAACTATTAACTTCTTCCATAAATAAGATTTTTGTGATTTCTTTTTTAAACCAAACTCAATGATCTTTTCAACCATATGTGTCACACGATATTAATGAATTCTATAAGCCAGTTTATTTTTCGAAAGTCGGGTATTGTGCAGTGACTAAAGAGTTTTTAGTTACACTAAACTAACATTTTCTGTTCATAAGTTCATAACTTCTTCCACAAATACGTTTTTTGTGAAATTTTTATTTATTTTTTTAAATTCAAAACTAGACGGATTGAGCTTTCCAATCATATATGTAACACAAGTTTAGTAAATTTCATATAAATCAGTTTATTTTTTAAAATAGGATATTGTGCTATTAATAAAGAGTATTTTATTACACTAAACAGATAGTTTTCATACATACTCATAACTTCTTCCACAAATACGGTGCAATCAATGCGAGTCTATTCATGATATTTCACCAGCGCACTGTGAATCTACGCGAGTTAGATGTACTCGCCCTATCGAAGGCGGATCCCGACCAACTCGAATGTCGTCTCTAAAGAAGACGACCTTCGAAGAAACGTCCAACACCTTCCATCCAAGCTCGGAGACCTGTATGTTCAGACCTTAATTCCCCAAATTAAACAGCTTAGCAGACAAGTCATCCTCAAAAGCAAATCAGACAAATGGGACCCATCGTACGTGATATCCGGCTCAGCCCCTCCTCTCAATAAGGGGCAGTCCGAGCCTGAAGAATAAAGTCCGAACTCGAAGTCAACAAGAAAGTCTAACCTCGAAGTCCGGAAGGAAGCCTGAACTCGAGACAAGAAGGAAAGAACCCAACGCCAAGTCAATGACGGAAGTTCAATCTCGGGGATCCCAGAGGCTAGACCTCGAAGCGCACTCCGAATCGAAAAATAATAAAATGGTGTCACTTGCAGGTCCATGATGACCGATGGGACATGCCCACCAACTCTATACATATAGCCCATAGGCTCATAGGGTAGCATGTCCTCATTGAAGGTCCGTAAATCAACATTTAATGACATATAATCATTATTTAGAGCCCGCCATACTGCATTTAATGACTGTCATTTTGGTTTACTGTGCAGTATAGCTCGATGAACAATAGAAGAATAGTAACCAAGAATATTTAGCTATAAATAGTCCTAGATTTTATTTATGGTGGGAGACAAAAAGAAAAGAATAATTAAAAAAGTCATATAAACTACCAATAGAGAGGAAAAAAATCTCTCTCTCTCTACATTCATTGTAAACCACAACAATCAGTTGTAATAAATCCAGGTAACAGAGCCTTACAGTCCGGCCTCGATGACAAAAGGGCCGACTTCATTTAAATTCTAAATTCTGCATTCATTGCAAAATTTCTCTTTATTTTCCGGTTATACTTACCCGATCAACATATAGTTCTCAATTAACCGTTGATACAAATCCACATATCAACAGTTAGTTTAAATAATTTTATTTTTCTAAATTAATATTAATAGATAATTTAATTTTAATTATAAATATAAATAAAATTATTTAGTTATTTTGTATATAATATAGATATCAAATCGAAGCTCATCAAGACATGATTAATTTGATATATTATAGATAAAAAATTGTTAGAAATTATAAAGTTTATTAACTTTTAAATATATTTATAATTTAAGTTAGTAATTTTGTTATAATTTTTAAAGAAAAATTAAAAAAATTTTATACCGTACAAATCATGTCTACAATAAGAAATAATATTAAACATACTAATATTCTTAAAAGGGATCATAGGATATTCTAAGCCTAGTTACTTTTGAATTGGAAATAAATTAAAATTCATCCAAGCCAAACAATAAGGCTTAAAAATTTGCCACATAGGATCCCGAAACGTGCGAGCATGTCACGTAAGCTCAACACATTTGAGAATTATATACATGCAGTAATGCTAAGGAGCCAACTGTTGGCTCCATTATAGATCCAACAGCCAATGGGACAGCTCCATGTGAGGCTGTCCCACATGGCTCCAATGTGAGACAACCCTGGAGGTGTCTCATTGGCTCCTTAGCATTATTGTATATACATGAGGATATATAGGGGGATTATATGTTACAGGATGCGATTTTTCAAACCCGGGTCGCCAACTAATTTGAACTGACCTTCGAGTTACCCGATCAATATTCGCATCAGCAGGTCGAGAACGTAATTCAATTATCTTATATTACAAAAATAATAAAAAATAAATATTTATCTAATATATATGTTAGGGTTGGTAAAAACTGCTACTACGGTGAACCATGAGGAGGAAAGTGCAAAATCCAGCAACATATAAAAAAAAAACAAATAGAAAATAAAGAGAAGCAGAGTACCCTGAAAATATCATACCATTATCCACCGTTTTGGGGCATGCGCAAGAACTCTGGTATGTGGCTCTCGCTTTTGCTCCAGACAAAGTTCAAATTCCCAAAAAACAACAGATTATTGCTTGTTCCTGTTTTTTTTCGTTAAATTGGTTAAATTCGCAAGTATAGCAGAAGCTGAACTGTAGTCGAGTGCATGGATTTTGTGCAAGCGGCGGCCATCGAAGCTTTTATCTGAAAAGTGTGCGCTGTTATCTGGATTTGATGAGCTCCCCATGCCTTTATTAGGTAAATGAGCCATGGATTTACTTGATTTGTTGATATGTTCGAACTCGAAGTTGTTTTAGTTGGTGAAATTAGTATTTTTCAGTCTGTTCTATGCCTAATTGGTCGTTTCTGCTAATCGCACTGTTGCTTTTGTCGTTGTTATTGTTGCTGTTCGTTTCTCTTTGGTTGTTCATGATGATTCTGTGTTTCATTTTGAGGAACTTTTGGAATTTGGATTTGGATTTGGATTTGGGAATGTAATATGCAGTTTGTGTACCTCTTCTTTTTCTTTTTTTGCTGCAATACTGGAGGAAGGCTTTCGAGTTTTTGAGAACTGGGCTGAAGCTATGAAATGTTACTCGTTTTCTGCAGATATTGCTATTTCACAGCCGTGCTCTTGTTACAGCAACAATAGATTAACAATTAGGTCCCAAGCCGATTTGCATAATAAATATCTGATCGGCAATGAGAGAGGATTGCGGTTGGCGTCCGCATTTTCCTGGAAAACCGTATGTGATATGGAACGATGGGGGAAGCATTATACCTTGGAGATAAATAAGGTATGGTGCAGAAGGTTAAGGATAAAGGCAATTGCAACACTTGAAACAACGAGTGTGCCTAAGAACAATGGTGCAAAAGGGTGTCAAAGTGTGTTGAGAATGGATATGGATTCAGTTGGTTCGGATCACTCTGATTTCCAGATGGAATCTTCAAGTGAAGATTCCACAGAACTGGACGAGAGGGAAAAGTTGAGACGGATGAAGATTTCAGAAGCGAACAAAGGAAAAATACCATGGAACAAAGGGAGGACAGAACTGGATGAGAGGGAAAAGTTGAGACGGATTAAGATTTCGGAAGCGAACAAAGGGAAAAAACCATGGAACAAAGGGGGTAAACATAGCCCAGGTATATCTAGTAATCGGCATTGCTAATTTTGTTCAAGAGTTTCTTAGAATGTTATTGGTTGTAGTGTTGCTTTTTTTCTTTTCCTTGTGGTTATACAATCCAGGAGATTTTTAGAGTTTCTTTTAAACATGTGCAGCAACATTGCAGAAAATCAAAGAGAGAACCTGGGTAGCAATGCAAGATCCTAAGGTGACTAATGAAAGAAACTAGTACATTCTCCTAAATCCCTCGATTACTTATGTCTCTTGAATCATTGAGGTTCTGCTGATCTTTCCTGTCTTGTCCTTATCAAATTCTTTTAATTATTCAAAATACTTCACTTGGCACTGTAGGAGTGAGATGTGAGGCATGCTTCTGAAATATAAATTTTGTTTAACGTTTGCGCAAGCTTTTAAGCTTTTCTAACTCTACTTGCTGCTGCCATTTGTGGTTATAAAATAAGATTTACTTAAACCTATATGAGGGAAGATATGATACCACTTTAGACCTACAGCTGGTTTCTATTGAATTTCCCTGAAATATATCTTTGAAGGGGACATAACTAAACATTGCATCAGCTATGATTCTTCTTCTTTGACATCATATTCAGATATTTCTTGTGAACTTCAATTATTTTTTTCCCCCGTCAAATTCAATCCACATCAGCTATCTCTTTGAGTTTAATATTTTCCAAAATTGTAGAGAGGCACTAATGAGCTTTGGCCACACAGGTCAAGATGAAGCTTCTTACAGTGAGGGATGCTCGAAGGTAGGATAAGCTTTTGCGTCCTTTAAATTTCGGGATAATTGCAAGATGTCTTCTTTAAATACGGAGTAACTTTGAAGTTAGATGTAGTATCAGAATTCAGGTGTTACAAATAAAAATGCTTTTTAGCTTATGAAGGGTGTAAATGTAAGTTGTAATAGAATTACAGAATCTTAAAGATTGTTTCATTATTTTCAAAGATGATGGGTTGTTTTGTAAATGTCAAACCTCAAGCATACCATTTGTAATTAACCAATAAGTCCAAATTGTCGATCTTCCTTAAAAATGGATGCTATTCTTCCTTCTTTCTTTTTGCGAGCACATAAAGCATTTTATAAGCTCATTGTCATCTTCTTGTCCTTATCTGTACAGTGAGGAAACAAAGATCAGAATTGGAGTGGGTGTCCGGCTTGGTTGGGAAAGGCGACGCCAGAAGCTGATGGTGCAAGAGACTTGCCACCACGAGTGGCAGAATCTAATTGCATTGGCTGCCAAAAGGGGTCTTTCAGGAGAGAAGGAACTACAATGGGACTCTTACCAAATCTTGAACGAAGAACTCGTCGGGGAGTTGCTCAAGAGTATTGAGCAGAAGAAAAGCACACCAAGGGCAAGGATTAAGGGGAACATGCGGGCACCCAAGTCGGCCGAGCATAAACGGAAGATTGCTGAGGCCATAGCGGCCAAGTGGGCTGATCCTGTGAGCTTTTTATTTCTGTGCATTGAATTTCGTTTTTTGTGTTGACATATATTGGGGTGATGATTTGAAAAAGCTACACCCTTGATATTTAGCCTACTAACAAAATTTCTGAGTGTATCTTAGAGAATGATGAACACTATTTAGATTTCTTTACTCTTGTCTTTTAATTAGGGTAGAACTTGGGATAACTTTTCTATTTGTTTTGTTGATAGGTACAATTACCACTATGTAAACTGAGTTTAGAATAAGAAAGTTCCAAATCTCCTAGTTCTCTCTTGGGGTTTGATTCTACCTTAAATATAACGGGGTAAAATGAATATAGTTGAAGTGGTATTTGCTTATGCAAGGGTGAAATATAGGACAACCAGACCATGGTGGAGGGTTTTCAAATTCAGAAGCTTGTCTTGGTCTGTGTATTTGTGTTTTGATGTTTGTTTTTTGTAAAGGCTTTCAATCTTAGTGGTGGTTTCTGCTACCCTATTCTCTATCAAGCAATAAAGTGGAATAAGCCTCATTTGGTGTTTTAGTTGATGACCTTAATACAGTTAGTGCAATCTAGTTATTCTAAAAGGATGCATGTTGTAACTGATGTAGTAAACTGACAGGCATGATGAATGCAAATATTTCACTTCGTATGCAAATATTTCACTTCGTATCCTAGTAAGTAGTATTGCTGACCTCATTTTTCTCTTTCCTTTTCAAATGGCTAGGAATTCCGTAATCGCATGCGCAGCGGTCGAGCCAAATACTATGGCACTCCAGAAGGGATTGAAAGGAGGCCAAGGAGAAAATCGAGTGCTAATGGGCTGCCTCGAAAGAGAAGCCCAAAGAGTGGGATGGCTGTTCTTGAAAAACATGAGACTAAGAGCCCAGCTGAACGAAAGAGATCAAATAGAAGTAAAGAACCTCTGTACAAGGATCCATTAGCAAGTTCCAAGCTGGAGATGTTGAAAAACATCAGGGCTCAGCGGGCTGCTTCTGTGGACAAACAAAGTGTAGCCATCACTAGGGCAAGGTAAATTTCGTGCAATTGCGATTTTTCATTTTATTTTTAATTTGCACTAAAGCTAGTTTGAAGGACTAGCCCTGACTCTGAGGTTCAGTCTAAATCCCAAAAGAGACCCGGTTTATATTCTGAAATTACAAATTACTCTATTGTACAATCAGATAGCCTCTTGAGGTGTGTCATCATTTTAGACAAAAATAAATATCTAATACTCAATTAGTAATTTTGGAATGTTAATGAAGTCTTCTGTGATGAGGATAAATTCAGAGATTTAGGCAATATGTCTTAAATTGCAGGCTGTTGATTGCTGAAGCTGAGAAAGCAGTCCAAGCACTTGAAACAGCTGCCAAGACAAACCCTTTTGCTGAAGCATCGGTAATCGAAAGCAGGATGCTAATATCTGAAGCTCAGCAGATAATAAAGTCCATCGAAGCCCAAGAAACCATCCTGTTTGAAAACGGCAATAATCTTTCAGAAAATTCAACCACCCGAGTACCAACTCTCGAAAACGAGGCAGACCCAAATGTTCGGGATTCCGTATTATTCAAACACGTAAAAGTGAACGGAGTCGAAAGCAATTTCGAAAAGTTGAGTCCAAACGATTTAGTCGAAACTGGTGAAAATCTCTTCCACTTGACGAGTTCTAATGGCCACATACCACTACTGTCCAAGGACCTTGATGCTGTCGAAGCAAACCCTAATGGAAGCTCTGGACTGGACTGTACATCAGAGAATCTTGAAGGGCTGGAAAAACAAATCAAATTGGCCAAGGAATGTAAAAAGGAGAATGTTGAAGGACCAGGAAAAAAAATCAAATCGATCAAGAAATGGGTTCGCGGGCGGCTGGTTGAAGTTGAAGTTGAAGTTGAAGTTGAAGTTGAAGTTGAAGAATGCTAGGTCAGTCTCAGCTTTTGTAACAATTGCTAAATAGTTTCATTGTCTATGCTAGGAAATATAGAGGGTATAGTGCTGGCACATACCCAAGTTTTGATGCCCAGATGGACTCCATACGTTAACACTGTATGTAACATACTCATCAAATTGGTCAAATTGGTGCACAGATAATTCTTATGTGGTGGATTCAAAGTACTAACTCAGATCTTTTAGAGGTCTAGGGCTTTTTGCAGCACTTGAAAGTTATGTTCTTTGTATTTAGAAATTAGTAAGTCTTCATGCTCAAGTTCCCCCAGTCATACTTTTTTCCCGTAAAAGTAAAACTTAGCTGACATTTCCTTGTGAAAATATGTAATTTTGTTCAAGACCAACTAGTGAAATCTTGAGAGCTTGAACTAGTTCAAACTCTCAGCAACATCCATTTTACTACATGATTTAGTTCAAAATTCACCTTGAAAACTTTATACATTTGCAACATTTGATCAGCAAGATCATCGTGTCTCACGAACCTAAAAATCGAAAATCCAGTTGCAAAACACTATACCTATATAAGAACTTTCACTTGGGGCAGCACACAATATCTTCAACATGGAGGACTTCCCAGTTCTTGAGATGTGAATCAACACTATCTTCAATATGCCTCCTTTTCCTTTCCATCTCCTCTTTGGCTCCCTTTATCCCAGTTTCCACTTCCTCTTTCTGCAAACAACAGCCATGATTTTAGCTCCAGATTTAGTAACTACTTCTGAAATATTTTCTTTTGAAGGGANGTTTTGTACCTTGTGGATTGTTTCAAGATGTTCTAAAATTCAATTGAATTAACAACTAACAAGATGATTGTGTGCTCATTTACTAACTTCCCCTTTTCTTTTCCCCAAAATAAAAATTGTGGTCTAATTTAGGGGTAAAAACTAGCCGAGCTGGGGTTGGGAGATGATCTAAACGAGCTCAAACTCGATTCATTTATAGAATCAGTTTATGTGTGCCTTGATGAGCCGATCTATTTAGTTTTAATTACACTTATTAGAATTAGTTTTAATTACACTTATTAAAAAACGTCATCATATTTATGTTGCTAGAAGTCTTTTTTGTTGTATTGAATAGATAAGAATTATATTTTCGAGGCGGCTCTCGTTAGCTAAATCAGCTAAATCAGCTCAAGCTCGAGCCTAAACTAGCTTAGCCGAGCTCACAAATGACTCGTTTGCTCTAGTCGCTCAAACTTGAATTTCATTGTATTTTCTTGAAAAAGGAAAAAGAATAGGGATTGGAAGCTTACCGCGATGGTATCAGGGACTGGAAGCTTAGAACCATGCACGGCGGCGCGGTTGGCTGCTTTCGTTACCATCCACCGCAGGCTCTGGCTGCAGACGGCGGCGCGGCCACCGGCTAGCTCTCCGCACAACATTTTTGTTGCCTTCTGTGATCCAACGATATTATTTTCTTCAATTCTTGGAGACAGGTAGAAGATTGATAGTGTTCTCTTTTTATTTGGGAAAAGGTAGAAGGTGATTCCAGAGACGTCTGGAATGCATGCCAAGCCGCCACGTGCACTGGCTTTGGCCTATTTGCATATTCCTCACTTAATTAGCACGAAATATTTTATTCACTAACAAATATTGGTGTGCTTTGTTAACAATGTGGATATAATCAAACTCAATTTCGAACTCGTCTCGAGCTTAGAGAACGAGTCAAATTCGAACTCTTCTCAAACTCATATAATCTTTGAGGTCGAGCTCCTTAATGAGCCGAGCTCGTCTTTGAGCTCAAAGCTTGTGCTCGAACTTTCATCAAGAAAGTTTAATTAAATGTGCTCGAATTTGAGTCGATTATCAATATAAGAGATAAATTATAAGATAATCAAATTTTCGAACTTTGACAAACAATATTTGGCTTAACTCGTTGAATAAATTAGTTAAGTCATAATGACTCAGGCCGAGACTGAGTTACACAACAGTTCGTTGGTTTTGTTCAACAAGATGTAGTATAATAGTAAACATTTTATTAGGTAAGATTAATTTAGATGTCAAATTTATGTGTGTTATATATTATAGGTCATAGGTTTATAGTATTAGAATAACACTAAGATATCTTTTGAATGGATGTAGTCAAATAGTCAAGATTTTACTAGGGAAGATTAAAAAAGTGTCAAATTTATGTGTATGCTATAGTATAGGTCATAGGTTTATAGTATTAGAAATTTAGAATAACACTAAGATATTTTTTAATGAAAACAATAAAGTAATAAACCATATGCTAACTCTTTACATTTTGTAATGAAGTTTTGAAATGCAAGATTGCAAGTATGCAAATTTCAAACCAAATGCTGATTTGAAGCTCTTCTGGTATGGAAGGCCCATAGGAAGCCCATAAAACCTCAAACTGGGTTAAGACACGACAAACAGCTGTCCAGCCCAACAGCCCAATTTTCAGCTCACCAGCTAAGCTACCAGGTCAATTTCCACCGACGATCTTCTCCGATCAGACAAACAACCAACCAAAAAAACCAATCATCATTGATGGCGTAATAGTTGCAGCGTCTGTTTGTTGGATTTCACTTTACCCCCTTTTCACTCTACCCTCCTAACTAATATCTGATTTACTTGGATTTTGCTCCTCGATCGTTCACTCCCAATTCAGATACACACTGAAAGGCGACGACGGTGTGTGATTCAGAGAAGATAAACAGTGAAAAAAATGTCGAAAGTGGTGGATGAGTTCTCCGACGAAGAGGAGGAGGATCGCGAGAATCTTATACCCGAGAATGCCAGACCAAACGACGCCGGCAAGTCTCCCAACTGCCACCGCCGCTCGGCGTTCCACATCGACGACGATTTTCGAAGTCGGCTTTCCGCCGTCTCTCGCAAGCTTAACAAGAGGTACCTTCTCGCGATTTTTCTGCCTTTGGTGATTTTGATGCTCTATTTCACCACCGATTTGAAAAGTTTGTTCCAAATGCGTATTCCGGCGATTAAGGACGTTAGCGGTAGCAACCCATTTGTCAATAGAATGCGTGAGTCGGAATTGCGGGCTCTGTATTTGCTTAAGCAGCAGGAACTCGAGCTTCTTAAGATGTGGAATTATACCACATTGGTGAATAAGTCGAATTTTAGCTCGGCGAATTCGAATCCAACTTCGGAAGATTTGAAATCTCTGGTTTTTAGCCAAATTTCATTGAACAAGCAAATTCAAGGGATTTTACTGTCATCCCACGAGAGTAGGGATGCTCTGGATTTCACTGAAAATAACACTGATGTGAGTTTCTCTAGTTGGAATAGGTGCCCGAAGGTCGATCATAGATTGTCAGATAGGAAAACGATCGAATGGAAACCGAAGCAGAACAAATATTTATTTGCCATTTGTGTTTCTGGGCAGATGTCGAACCATTTGATTTGTCTCGAAAAGCATATGTTCTTCGCGGCCTTGCTTGATAGAATCTTGGTGATCCCTAGTTCGAAAGTCGATTACGAGTTTCATCGTGTTTTGGACATCGAACACATCAATAAGTGTTTGGGGAGGAAAGTTGTGGTGACTTTCGAGGAATTTGCTGAAAGTAAGAAGCACCATTTGCATATCGACAAGTTCATGTGCTATTTCTCTTCTCCTCAGCCATGTTTTATGGACGACGAGCGCGTGAAGAAGTTGAAAGGTCTGGGGGTCTCTTTGAGTAAGATTGAAGCTGTTTGGAAAGAGGATGTTAAGAATCCGAATCATAGGACAGTCGAGGATGTTTCAGCAAAATTCTCTTCGGATGTTGATGTAGTTGCAATCGGAGATGTTTTTTTTGCAGATGTGGAGAGAGAATGGGTTATGCAGCCTGGGGGACCGATTGCCCACAAATGCAAGACTTTGATCGAGCCGAGTCGGCTAATTTTGCTAACTGCTCAACGTTTTATTCAGACGTTTTTGGGGAAGGACTTTGTAGCTCTTCATTTTCGTCGCCATGGTTTTCTGAAATTCTGGTACTTATTTCGACTTTCAATGCTTTTTCTGTTTATATAGCCTTTGCTCATTCTTGAATAGATTATGAAAGCGAGTATTTATTATTAGCGAAAGGGAANAAAAAAAAAAAAAAACAAAATTGCAAGTATTTCAGCACAAATGTTTGAAGTCTGAGATGGAAATGTGGGAAAGAGAAATTTTAACAGTTTTTGATGATTAAGGCTATGTTTGGTAAACAAATAAGCTAGTTTATAGCTTATTTGGTTAGCTTATGAGCCTCCTGTATTCTGTATTCAAATGAGCTTCGTTTGGTTGGACGACTTTTGTAAAAAGTTCGAGCTTATCTCATAAGATCCTTCTTTAGTTAGTTTTTCAAATAAGCTCGTTGAAATTTTTTAGCTATAACTTATCAGCTAATTTTACGCAACACTTTTATTATATAAGCTAGATTTTCAGTTATAAGCTCAAAAATCACTTATAAGCTATCAGTTACTTTTACCAAACATAGCCTAACTCTTTATTCATTTACATCTTAGTTTAATTTCTCCCCCAATGTTGTACGTAGAATCTAACTGAATTTTCTCTGTTTCAGCAATGTTAAGCATCCGAGCTGCTTTTACCCCGTGCCTCAAGCTGCAGAGTGCATTAATCGGGTGGTTGAAAGGGCTAATACGCCAGTGATATATCTCTCTACAGATGCTGCAGCAAGTGAAACTGGTTTGCTGCAATCCCTTGTTGTCTTGAATGGAAAGTCAGTGCCGCTTGTACAAAGACCCGCTCGTAATTCAGCTGAAAAATGGGATGCTTTGCTATATAGACATGGGCTTGAAGGAGACTCACAGGTCAGATTTGCTTTCTAGTTTTGTTTGGTTAAGGAAAAAAGTGACTAGTAGCTGCAGTTAGGATTCAGACACAATTAGAAAGAACTTGAAAATATGGGCACTTTTTGCAGACATAAGCATTTTACAGGTGTGCCATTGGTCATAAATCCAATTCGGATTTAACCAATCAAATACTTCAAATCTACTAAACAATTTAGACAGTAAAAACCAGTAAAAATGAATTAAAAATGGACCTTGCGTTAAAGTGTGTTATTTTAATAAAGTCGATTGAGTGAGATTTTGAGTTTGTATTTAAATAATATTTAAAATGTAATAGTTAAAGTTGATTGATGTAAAAGTATGAGAGAGATTAAAACTGATAGGTAGTTAAAAATATTTGAGTAGATAAATGGTGAATTAAAGTTGATGTGATGTATGAGATAAATGATTGGTATTACTTAATTATATTGATACTATTGAGGATAGTGAACTTGAGTTAAATTTGAGTTACATTTTGATTTGAAGTGAATAAAAAAATTCTGGTCAATCAAAACTAGTTTTGATTGCATACCAATCACTACCTTTTAAGTTCAAATTTTTAACTCAAAATTCAACTCAATTTATCTCTCCTCAATATTATTAATTAACATCAATCAATCACTATCACGCAATTTCCAAAAAATTTTACTTTTCATCCACTCACATTTTTAACTAACAATCAAATCCAATCGCTTTTCTCATACTTTTACATCACATTAACTTTAATCATTACACTTTAACTCATCTCTAAACACTAACTCAAAATCCAATCCAAAACTCTATAAAATCACGTTTTTTCAATTTTAGTTCACTTTATTCAATAAATCCAAATCACATTCAAAAAGCTCATGTCCAACTCGAATACTTGTCGCTTATATTTTTATGAAAGCCCCCTGAATTGTGGTTTCATGTCATTAACATCTAAAGCTGGATTTTTCCTTTGTGAAGGTTGAGGCGATGCTCGATAAGACTATATGTGCCTTGTCATCTGTGTTCATCGGGGCCTCTGGCTCGACTTTCACAGAGGATATCTTGCGGTTGCGTAAGGACTGGGGATCGGCATCTCTATGTGACAATTATTTGTGCCAAGGAGAAATCCCGAATTTTATTGCGGAAAATGAGTAAAAATTGGGAGACTTTATATCCTTACTTTGCTCTTTGGGAAATTTCTGCAGCTATATAAGCTGTTTGTGTGTGGTGGAGAGGAAGTCCGTGAAGACGAGTTAGTTCGACTGCTGGGGATGGCTGTCGGTAATTTTGCGAAAAAAAAAAAAAAAATGTTTTGACAGCTTAATAACATTCTGTAAATGGGATCTTGTCTGATTTATGTGGATCTATGTAAATTGTAATAAGAACTTAATAATGTATCTGGCTTTGTTCCTTGTAAATTGTAATAAGCTGTGGCTTTACTGTTATTCAGTTTGTTTCTTGTGGTTCTTGTGAGTTTATCTTGTTTAGCCATATATGTATGATACTACAACATGGGACATTTTAGTGTACGTATATTTGTGAATAATTCTTGCTGTTATGTGATGAATATCATATGAAATGTTTGTTTGGTTGATNNCTTTGTTTGTCAAAATCTTTAATTGGATTATATATGTCAAGAATTTGTTCGACATACAGAAGTCATAAGCCCCCCCTTCATTTCATTTGTTAAAAAATATGATATCTCATTTAGCATGAGTTATACCATAATTTATGTTATTCTATTTGTACCCATACTATTGCTATTATTATTCCAAATTTGATAACTATTATTATGATACCATAAAAATGAAACTACTAATATTAATCTATTAATATTATTCCAATTTCAAGACTAAAGAGTGGGTATGATGTATGATGGGAAAATGAAACTAGAATTCAAGTGGACACCACCCATATCGCCACAAAATAACAAGAAACCTTCCAAAAACAATAATCCATTTTATAATCACTATTGTCTTATTCAAAATTAATTTACTTAATCAAATTGCTCTTATTTTATTTTTAGTCCGACGCTCACGAGTTCTCATGGAAAACCTCATGCCCCCGCCGCTCAGCTATAGTGTGCAGTTACTGTGTTTGAGCTATCTTTCATCGTTCAACAGATTGTGAATTGTTCAACACCATCGCTTGTAGTCCTTGATTTCAAATTGTTATCTGGCTTTCAGAACCAAGATTTCCCAGCACTTCATCTTCTCAAATCGTTCGAGTTTTTCCGTTTTTTCACAAACAATTCTGAAAAAAATGAGGGCCAAGATTGTGGTTTTCCCGATCAAAGGGCGAAGCTGGTGTTTTAGCCGCTCGATTGATGCTTCAATGGCGGCCGCACAACCTTCCAGCACGCCGTCCACCTTAAAGGAACTCTTCAAGAAGATATTTTCTTCATCTTCATCTTCTCAAATCAGAGGAAAGCCCTCCGAGGACTCGAAAGCTGAACTCGCGATTGATTTCGTAGCTAACAAGGTCGTGAGAAATCAATTGATTGTCGCTTATTACTCAGTAATGGTTAATGGGCTGTGATTGTATTGCTTAATAACGTTCCTTGCTAAATGGGTTCCCGTAGTAATGATTATTTTGTGTCTGGGTTGTGTGAGAAATGTTTTCATAAGGTTTGTAAATGGTTAATGCAAAATGGGTTTAGATTAAAATCGGCACTTTTTATTTTTATTTTTTCTGTAATCATATTGAGCATTTGGTGCTTATAGGGTTCTGTTGTTTATGGATTGTGTTTGATGAATGAAATATTATATTTTTCAACTACACTATTTGTCTTGCTAATTGTTGAGACTTTATATGTGGTTGTGTTCGTTTGGCCATCAATTAATTAATGAACGTGCTGTGCTTTACCGTCTGATTAGTGACTTGTAGATAATCGGTTATGTGTTATACTCATGGAATTGTTACTATGGAACATGTGTAGATGAATGGGGCTTGGAGTAAATTGGAAAAGGCGCCCCAGGGGACCTTCAAGAATAAGATTCACGGGTATGTTTATGCAAGCTTGTACTTTGTTCTTCTTCTTTTTTTTTTTTTTTTTCNTTTTTTTTTTTTTTTTCTCAAGTTTCTGTATAATGTCTGAATAATTTTTTAATCACGGTCTGTCTATAATTTGAGAGAAAGGAAAAGACTATCACAATCATGTCACTGCTTTTAGAGTGTTTTGAGTAAGAACATTTTTACTATATGCATAGATTGGGATTGAAGCTGTTGTCACGTGTTAAGCCATCAGAAATCTTGTTCAAGTCCATTCCAAAGGAGACCAATGGAGTGGATGTAATTTATCCATCAAGGTAACGTGATAGATTTTGATTAATGATCTTAATACATATGAGTTTACTTTCCTTTATTGTGTAGAAACTAGAAATCCTCATCATGCGAGATTAAATAAGAGTTCTGCTTGTGTGCTGGAGAATATTATCATTAGAAAGTGCTGATTGGAATATTTTACATGGTCAATCAAAATACATTCTGAAGCGGAATTTAATGAACATTCATAAAGTTTAGAAATGAAATGTAAATTATAACAGATGGTATTACAAAATTTCTGTTGTAATTGTATTCATATAACCTTGTACTCACTCCACCTTTCTTTTATCCAAACATAATGACAAACTTGTCATATGTCAGTATTCGCTAAACAATGTTTATATAGATCAAATGATATGCAGCATTTGCATGTTTTGTTTTCATTATGATTAATTTTTTAGCTTCTTTTTCACTTCCCAGTTTGAATCCACGACTTGTCCGGAGAAGGCTTCGGCATATTGCATTCAGGTAATAACTTTATTGATACTTGTTACACTTTCGGTTTTTAGTTCTCATTTTATTTTCTTTGGTAGCACTATATTATATGTTGTCCTTGACTCACATGATCCATGGAAAGAGTACATAGTGAAAGAAGTGTAAGAATAGTGGTATGAATATGCTGTAGAAAAGAAGGTTAACATATGCATTTTTTTTATTTTTTTTTTTGTTATTTGTAATACATTGTTCAATATATACTATAAACGGATAGACTAAATTTATATGCTAATTATATCTGTTGATGCACAATAAAACGTGATTACCAGGGGATCAGTGATTCACAAGAACTACTTGTATTGTTCTGCCATCTTGCTGCCTCTGACTTCTGTTTTCACGGTACGAATGTGTAAGAAAATGAATATTGTATTTAGTCGATTATATTGCATCCACATTAGATTGAATAAAAGTACAAGAACACATTATTCTTCTTGTGATATGGAAATTTGCTGGAAATATTACACAGGTCCTTCCTTTGCCTAATATCCCGTTCTTTTGGATATTATTTCGCACTTACTCACACTGGAGAGCCTCGCAGGTGAGAAAATTCCTTATAGTTGTTCTGTCACTCAAGAATATTCGTAAAATGATGTAAATTATTGTCGATTGACTATTTTTGCGTAATTTTGTAGGACTTTTAAATAACAAATATTTTTATATGTGTGTGTTTGTGTGCGTTGTGGAATGTTATGTAGACTATTGATTATAATTTTATTTATCAATTTATTTATTTTTGTGTTATCATAATTTTTCCAACTAGCGATGGTGGGATTGGATCCTCATAAGGTGCTAAAAAAGTGGTGGGCAAAAAACTGTGCACTTTTGCTATATGCTTAGATTTTTTTCCCCCTTTCATTTTTTCAGGGAAGCCAAAAGCTTCTTCATCTACTGAACGATGCCTCCATTGAGACTACCAAGGAAAAAGACATTTTATCCCGTGATTCTAACGAGTCAAGTGATAAATCTACACGTTCTCCATTGGTAAGGATTATTTGCAACTTGTCTTAGCATAGCACCAAACCAATGCCATTTTAGTCGAGTTTTTTTCTTTCATTCGTGGTGTTTGCTCACTTTCTGCCATTGTTCGGTTTATTTTAAGCATTTATCTATCCGAATTGTGTGGCTTCTCATTCAGATATGTCGTTTATCTAAATTCGGGTGAACTAATCAATCACAATTCTGATATTGTGAGGTCTGATCTTCCAAAACGCTCCATTTTCTTTCCGAAGACAGATAGTAACGTAAAATGTTGAAATTGAATACACCTCCTCGTTAGGTTCTTCTGTAATTTATGCAGGATTACAGCGGGCAGTTTTCGTAATTAGCACTACTTTTTAGGCACTAATAGAATATACTGAACCTTGTTGCTGTATATAAAAACGCGGAGTTTCTTTACTCTCGAAAATCTAAATTGCTTGTATGATTTTTTTGCTATTAGGTTTTCCAGCCGACAGAAGAGCTTCAGAAGCTTCTTCAACACCAAAAAGAAGGTGACAATGGTCTCACTGAGAGTGCAATCTTGAAAATTTGCCAGAAATTCTATTTGAATCCTACAGATGTTGTAAAATACCGAGATTCAATTTAGTCCCAG